TGCCCGGCCAATGTCATCTTTCTACGCGTGTAGTGACTTATTGTTTGGGATACGGTGGACCGGGAACACCGCACGGATATACACCGAAGTATTGGAACGTATATCCCACCGCTGAAGCATGCAATGACCGGTGCATATTATTCCACGTGGCCTCGACACATATAATATCCCGGGCAGCGTACACACTGGCTGTAGACTCAAGCAAATTCCCATCGCATGATAGTCTTTGAACAGATGTAGGTCCGGAGAGGCAAATATGTATATTCGCACTTGCGCGTCTTGTCCGTGCATGGCAAACAATAACATGTACACCATCTAATGTCTTATTTGTCACAGTTAGAATCTTACCCATGTCCGCGCGCATGCAAGGCCAAGAGAGAGGTGCAGGCGCGTGTCTATGTAAGAATAATAACGTTAGAGGACAGATGTGCAGATTTGTAATCTATGTCAGACAATGCACGCCGTTAGAGCTTCAGTTTAACTCCAAACTCCACGACAGATGGCGCTCTCGTTCTGGCTCAATCCTGAGTACGAAGGGGCCACTGCATGCAATTGGCTTTAACTCATGTTAATTATGTCGTCCCTGTATCGCTTACTCGGAATCGCGGATTTCCCAAAATTACCACCCACACACGATTTCTAGACTTCACTGCATCTCTCTTATCGTCTGTAACATGTATTGGTATAGCCATTAAACCGGTAAAAATATATACGTTTATAAAAAACATCGAGTAAATAGGAATTATAGCAATTAACACCACAAGCGATGTCTATGCGAATGAGTTTTTAAGTAGTAAGATAATGTTGACACGCGTCTGCGGTCGCAGTAAATAACTACCGCTGAAATAGGTAACATGCACCTGGAGTATACTGGACGTGGGAGACTGATTGTAGGAACGCCCACATTTCATTCATCATAAACAGTGTATGTATGTGTAGCTAAAACTGTCTAATACGATAGAGGTACGTTACACGTATCAAAGATGGTCCGTCCGACGTGTTGGCAGCTGGTTGCATATTTACTACACAATTTTTATTCACGTCGATTGAGTACGACACTTTTTGAGTAGAAAACCGTCATTAATTCTTTTGGAAGATTACGCGAGAGCGAATTTTTGGTTCGTATCCCGAGTAACGTACGTGGTCATAATACAAGATTGCGTGGCACAGCTTTGCTGTTGATCCTGAGCGCTGCGAGCNGCTCTATGTTGTTAGCTAGTAAAAGTACGAGCGCCCGCGACACTTAGCGCGCATATAGGTACATGCTGCGCGGACTGACGATAGTTGTTTTTGCTTGTAAGTTCAGCTGCGGCTCGTGATCCGAGTTGTGAAATTATATATTGAGTTGATCCGCTCAGTTCATAATGTTACTTTCCCCGCAAGTCGAAGGCAGGCATCGTGATGTAGCAGGCGATGCAGGTCGTCGTCACCTGTCCCAATACAGTTTCACTCTGTATCTTTTATAGTGGGGCAATTGAATAAAAACTCATCCATGAATTCCTTAATATATATATATGGCGAGGGGCTACATGAGCCGGAGGGTCGGGGAGGAGGTGATGACGGAGAGTGAATAATAATAGATCTCTATATCAGCATTTTATTAGACTCTCACCGAATCTACCCTCCACATTATTCGCGTCCTATACATTATACCACGGGAACCTTTGATGTATAATCGGCGAGGTTCTATCTAAGAGCTTCCATTAGAAGCGGAGACGATTTATTGTGTTCTTTTTTTCACCCCATAACGAAGGGCAGGTTTTTTATGTTGATGTATAAATTATGAAAGGCAGGCTAGGTGTGGCCGGGATATATATAATATAATAGTATATAATGATATATATATATTTACTGACCAGATAATAGTAAGTCGTGAACATCGTCGGATCATCTACCGCTGTAGTGTGAGGCTCTCTGACGTCTTCCTGGCATGTACGAGCACATGGCCTGAGCCACCAGCACGCCAGGGGGAAAGCAAGAAATGTCAAAAGAACGGCGAATGACCAAAGGACTATGCCGGCCGCCAGCTATCTCTTACCAAGCCCTAGTTACAAGTAACTGCCTCGCCTATCACTGCGTCGGATATACAGTCATAGAGTCTGATTTACCTAGAGTTATTTAGTTTTTTCTTAGGGCGGATCAACTAAACATGCAGGCTTCGACTCGTTGTGGCGAGGGCCGTGAGGTAAAGGTCGTCCCAATGTACTAACTGTTATCATTGCGAGAAAAAAATGGTTGAACATATACTCGCTCTAACATTATCTCTTGCCCCTCTCCCTCAGTTCGCACTGGCGAATTGGTAGGACGATAAAGCTCGTTTCACGGGTAGCCGATTGCATTGCTATTACTTAGCATAGCTAAGCGACAACAATGTTTCAATGTTACATTGTTCAAATACTAATTGCGCACAAGTCAACTTTTTTTATTTTTTTATTTTAATTGGTATATATCAGAGTTGGCTATAGGTGACTCCTCTACGGCTATGTTGTTACTAATGACGCGCCCGCGACATTTAGCGCGCATATCGGTATAGCTGCCACTGACCGATAGTTGTTTTTGCTTTAATTTATCTCGTTCGCGATCAGAGTTGTGAAATGATATAGTTATCTCTCAGTCATAATGTTACTTCCCCCCCCCCCAAGTGAATGCACATCGTGATGTCACAGGCAGCGGTGACGTCAACTGTCCAATCAGTTTTACCTGTAGTTTTATAAGCAATTGAAGAAATTCATCCATAATATCTTAATAAAGCCTTAATGACCTATACATATCACTAGGAGTGAATAATAATAGATTCTATTATAGATATTATCAAGAGTACATAATAGAGAACAGGTAAATAATAGGTATATATTCTAGAGCTTGAGATGCGGGAGGGATTTGTTCTTTCTTTCATGAGGAAGGGCAGGTTTTTATGTTGATGTAAAATATGACACAGATAGGTGTCGGCGGGCTATTATCTACTTCTGATATATATATATATATTTATTTTTTTATTTTTTATTTACTCACCGATAATATAATCGTAAACATCGTCGGGATCCTCTACGCTGTATGTGAGGTTCTGACCGCTTCTCATGTACAGCACTGCTGCAACCAGCACAACGAGGGGAAGCAGCACCTTGTCCAGCACAGCCATAATCGTTCCTTAGAAAAGACAGCGACTATGGTTCTCCCTGACCAGGATGCAGCGACAACCGAACCGATATCCTGGAGAGTGTTAGTGCCGAGTGCTTGCTTACATGTGTAAATGCGGCCTGGACGCAGGCTGGGCTAAAGATCCGGTGTCACTTTTCCTCGGGCGTAGAGAGAGGGTGCCGCTGTACACTCAAGCAAATTCCCATCGATGATGGTCTTTGAACAGATGTAGGTCAGAAGGGGCAAAAAACAGGCTCTCTTGTCCGTGCATGGCAAAGAATAACATGTACACCGTCTAATGTCTTATTTGTCACAGTTAGAATCCTACCCATGGCCGCGCGCATGCAAGGCCAAAAGAGAGGTGCAGGCGCGTGTCTATGTAAGAATAATAATGTTAGAGGACAGATGTGCAGATTTGTAATCTATGTCAGACAATGCACGCCGTTAGAGCTTCACTTTAACTCCAAACTCCACGACAGATGGCGCTCTCGCTCTGGCTCAATCCTGAGTACGAAGGGGGCACTGCATGCAGTTGGCTTTTACTCATGATAATTATGTCGTGCCTATATCGCTTACTCGGAATCGCGGATTTCCCCAAATTAGCACCCACACACGATTTCTAGACTTCACTGCATCTCTCTTCTCGTCTGTAACATGTATTGGTATAGCCATTAAATCGGTAAAAATATATACGTTTATAAAAAAAATGTCGAGCAAATAGGAATTATAGCGATTAACACCACAAGCGATGTCTATGCGTATGAGTTTTTAAGTAGTAAGATAACGTTGACACGCGTCTGCGGTCGCAGTGAATAACTACCCCTGAAATAGGTAACATATACCTGGAGTATACAGTACTGGTCGTGGGAAACTGATTGTAGGAACGCCCACATTTCATTCATCATAAACAGTGTATGCATGTGTAGCTAAAACTGTCTAATACGATAGAGGTACGTTACACGTATCAAAGATGGTCCGTCCGACGTGTTGGCAGCTGGTTGTATATTTACTCCACAATTTTTATTCAAGTCGATTGAGTACGACACTTTTTGAGTAGAAAACCGTCATTCATTCTTTCGGAAGATTACGCGAGAGCGAATTTTTGGTTCGTATTCCGAGTGACGTGGTCATAATATACAAATTACGTATGTGCGAATTCACGTGACTAGAGTTACTGTATTGCAATGTACTTGTTGGGAATCCAGGTGAGTAAGGGAGATTCACTGTTTTTCGTCTTTGCTTGGCTAAGCAAAACTGGTGTACTGTTTACCAAGGTCATCGCATTATCTCGCAAAGCTTCCGTTCCCGGCGTAGATTGCCGCAAGATGTACAACAGATCAACTGCAGTAACTACAGTAGTGATGTGTTTTTTGGCAATATAGATCTGGAAGGCTATGATGAACGCATCATGTCAACGTAGTTTCAAGCTATCTGATGTTGAAAGTATGTGTGTGTAGTGTCAATATAGAGTAATTTTACAATAGATAAAACGTGGCTGTTGATGAAGAGGCCTAGTGCAAGTATATAAATTTACAATGATATTTTGTATACTTATTTATAGTAGTAAAACACATTTCACACGTT